CTCCACTGTCATTGTTATCGTTGTTGTCATCGTTCTCGTCATCGTCATCATCGTCATCGTCATCATCATCATCGTCATCATCATCTTTTTTGTCCTTTTTAGGCTTCTTCGTAGCTATAAGGTGGAAAATAAGTGGCAATTAAGATGAAATACTTATGCAAGGAGCAGTAATAAGAAAGCAATTGTATGAGTAAACTCTCGTGAAAAGTAAGGCACGAATGCAGTAAGACCAGTAATGCACTCCGGGTTCGAGACTGAAACCTCATTTTACTGTGTTTTTCAAACCACTGAAATTACCGCGGTGCAGCCCACAAGATAGGCGCGAGTCTCGGTTGCCCCATTCGCGGTAGAGGCAGTCGGATGGAGTAGATATGAACTCGCCCTTTCGCGCCCTCTTATCGAACATGTTTATTGACAATGTGGAAGCTTTGCGATGGGCGCTTAGCGCATTAAATATGCATGGCAGCATCTGAACGAAGTAAAAATACACCTCAAATGAATACCTAAAATCTGGCGCACATTTAAACCAAATTTACGCAACAAGTACGTATATTTAGTTAACAGATACCGTTTATATGCACAGAAAAGCACTGTTAGCAGACACCGACTGTTCGTTCATACATATAGATACAAAATGTTGATGTCTACGTTACTCGCTATTTTACAGTAACATTATTTATGTTGGATATTTTGTGCATACTGTTGTCAATAGGGTTTTCAAAGGCATCGCCTACTACTCCAAATATACTGAATTTTACTGAACTTACTAGAACAGTGCGGATTGCCCTGACGGGAATATGCAGCGTACTGTTCACTGTAGGAAGACGAATTTCCAAGAACCAAAAAGCTCAAAGGAATGTGAATCTCCGGGTCAAGATGAGATTCCTGCGAGATTGCTCAAGGAACTTGCTAGAAAACAGGCTAAGCCGCTTTCTATGAACTATTTGTTCATTTGTGTTGGACGACAACAAGGAGAATGGAGTCCATTAAGTTTAAGTACTCGGACCCACCCTTTTTATCTTGTACGTTAATAACATTTGACTGCGGCTGTGCCATGTTTGTAGATGATGTAAAAATATGGAAGGTCATCAAGTGTGCTGCCGATGAAGATAAATTCCAGGAAAATCAGCTCGATATGCCTGCGTATTGCCATGTAGTTGGATATATCAGACGAGAAGACACGTACTGCATCAGTACGTTTCCAATTCACATATGTATTTTGACCCATAACACTTCATCGAATTATACTGCTTAACATTAAGTCGCGAAATGTACCTGCCCTGGTTCTCCGTTGTATGGCGATGCAGTCTTCCAGGATTTCAGGAATATCTGGCATATTTTTTTCTTTAGCGCACTGTCCTGTTAACTAACAAATGAATGATACGCTTAATCCTTTTCCACCTGAGTACCAGCAAATGCGACCTGCAAGGGAATTCCTCCAAACACCGGGGATACATATTCCCTCTGCAGCCGTTCGTTCTCATAGCGAGTGATCGGTGCCTGGAACGGACTGCCCGAGGAGGTCATAAAGGCGAATTCGACAGATGCATTAAAAAGCATATTTGATGCATTTTCACTGAAAAAATACCGTTCATATGCAAAGGAAAGCACTGTTATCAGACACCAACGCTTCGGTCACACATACAGATAAAAAATATATATGTGGATATGTTACTCACTATTTTCTAGTAACATATTTTATGCCGGACATTCAATGCATACCAACGCTTCGGTCCCACATGTAACATTGTACATGTGTATATGTTACTTACAACGTTATAGTTCCATATTTTATGTTCGATATTTGTGCACACTGTTTTCAGTAGGGTTTTAAATCACATTGCCTACGCTCATAAATTTACTGAATTATAGTGACTTTTTTTCAATTGTGAGTAGGTTGGGCTTCACGGCCCCGATAAAGCAGAGCACTCGCCACTTACGGCAAACAGAATTTACGAAGGTGGACGTGAATCGGAAAAAATTGAATTTCTTTGTAAAGGCTTAGCAGAAAACAATGGCAATTAAATGCGGAATTGCAGCCATCATCCGTAGGCATGCTTAGAAGATATGACCCAATGAGCGCATTTTTATATATGCAATTGTATTCGTTAAATATCGCATATTTGCAGCTGAAGCAGAATTAGAAATTCAAAACAATCTTATTTTTGACGAATAACACGAATAGATATGGTCATCACAGTGTGCTTTGCTTTCCTTAGGATTAAGCCATTTCCTTAAACCCAAAAAACGTGTCTTTCTTCAAGTAAGACATTGCATGCGCACACTACAAACCAATTTGTTGCCGGTAAAAAAATCTTCTTCAAAGGTCGTGATCCTGATCTGACTGAAATATTTTAACATTAAATCGTATGCACCTACATCTTCCGAGCACATACAGTGGTCGCCGTTGACCACGTAATTTTCCTTAATTTGTATAAGT